GTCGACGCCTATGTTGAGCTAATGTTCGACGAGGATGACTTCCAGATGCGCGACGCGGAGAAGTACCGCAGAAAGCCGGCTCGCTACAGTTTGCCGCCTTCGCATGCAGCAAGTTGGGTTCCAACTTAACGGTGCTGAGCGACCACCGCTGGCGCGAGGTCGACCGATGCCTTGCATACTTAGCTGACACACACGACATCACTACGCATTGCCAATTTCCAGCTCTTCTACACCATATTTTCGATAATTTTTTACCCCGTAATTTCAAACCCTAGTGTACATACCCTTGGACGAAATATTTTGTAGGGTACTTTTTTTTCACAACCCTAAACCCTAAAGTGAGCGAGTCCCACAATTCTGGGTGTATGCAAATGTTCAAAAGAATACTTACAACGTTGAACGCGTGCGAGGCACCCTCCCACTTCAACAAAGCACCTATGTGCACCCTCATGGTCATGAAGTTTGCCTGTCTGCCATCAAAGTTTGGCCTGAAATCGAATCCCGGTGTGTGAACCCTGAGTTGTTCCCCCCTCTCCAACATGAATTTGGACACCCATGGTGCAAACCTGCGAAAACATTGCACGTCAATGTCTTGCAAACGCGACCGTAAAAAATTGCATCCAGGGACACACTAGACGCTTGTAACACAATGGAAGTTGATAGCTCATAGTTCAAGGTCGCAACCGTTTGTCATGCTAAACGTCAATAGAGGGGTTATGCTGTAACCAATCAATACCGGCAGCCTCTGCGACGGTGACAAGGTCGCATGGCACGTGACACGTGGTGTTCGCTTTGGCTTTACACTTCACTAGAGGGCATTTTTGGCTGGATGGCAGGGGCCAACTCAGTGACCGCGACCCCAGTGTATTCGCAGGTGACGCGCTGGCGATCCATCCCTTCCATCCATCTGAGCCACAGCCTCTTCTGATCAGGGATAGCGATCGTAATCGTGTGTAGATGACATCTGACACGGTGCAACACGGTTGAAACAGCGTAATGTATGCTACGTGATGTTTGATGCTCGGTGCCGTTATGTATCCGTTGGATGTCAGCGGATGCTGCCGAGCTGAAGGAGAGAAGACGAGAAACCTTCTTCACCCAACCCTAGAAAAGCAGATTCCGACAATCTCAGGACGCGTCAACTCCGGCAAAATTTGGCGATCGATCCTGGGCAGGATCGAATTCTGACTGGGTTGAAAGAGGTTTTAACAAACTTTGGATGCAATTGCAAGAGTTAAGTACGGTGGAAGATCGATATTGCACGATCGATCGACGTTTTTTGCAGGAGTTGACGCGTCCTCAAGCACGCCTTCCTCTCTTTCTCAGATTCGATGTCAGTACAACTGTAATCGACAGCTCTCTCTCTCTCACACCAAGACATTGTTGACATGTTTCTGCAGCACCCACTCTCTCCAGGTGTTTATTGCACCACTTGCAACTCCATCACATTTCCTTCGCACCTTCCGTTGCCTCTTTATGTGTACGAATGCGGCGGATTTAGCCAACCAGCCACGCAAGTTGGCTGATCCAAGTCAGGCCTCCTGACTTCTTTGTCGTTGCTTACCGAGCAATGCTGTTCTCCCAACTCAAGCCCTGCTTTCCGGATTGTTGGTCCACAGTGTCACCCTTCGCACATGTGGCACATATGTACCGCATATGTGCATATGTGCTGTGCGCCTGGCCATGCACCCAAAGCGCAGCTCCGCGCGCGGCTGCATTTCCCGCCAAGATTAGGTCAGAATAGCTCGATTACGACTAGTCCCGGCGCAGCATGCTTGCGAAGTTCGCGGCCTGCGTATGCACATCGATTAGTGCGCATCACCGTAGTGCGAATGGCCTGCATCAAACGGTATGCTAGGACTTTTCTGAGTGACTAACAACGGCGTCACCCATACACACCATATGCTCGCCGCATCATCCCGTGCTTGGAACGATACCAACCAACCCAGAAGGATGCACGTGGTCATTCGTGATCATTCGTTGATGGTCCCGGATTGATGCTTTCCTCGTTCATTATCTCAGGTTTACGGGTTGATGGGCACCTCTTTTGCCTCAACCGTGATAACACGTGCTCCATATCGTGTGGCTCGGGAATACTTTTGAGTCGACTCAAAAGTCACACGTGCTCCATATCCTGTGACTCGGGGATTCCTCGTATTCTGAATTAAGTGTTATCAGGAGAAACGCTTTAATCAAACCCTTCCAACATTACGCCATAGCCGTCTTTCTGGTCCACATTTCGTCAAAGTCATCTGGTGCTATGGGAATGGTTGTATTTGAGTTAACAGTTATGCCGTTTAAAAAGTGAGTGAATCTCCGCAGCTCCGGGACCCATTTTCCGTAAGCACCACCGTGGATGCGGTTTCTTCGAGGTGACCCCTGAGTCTGGTAGTCAATAGTACTGCTCGTACCCCATTTCATCGGAGCGGTTTGTGACAGCAACCACATCTCGTGTACATGCGGCTGTGTTTGAATCCTCAGCATCTCATATCCGCTGAGTCATCCTCTGACATTCAGTTGACGCCAGTGAAATCCAGTGACCTTCTGTAGCATCCAGTGACCTCCCCTGACATCCAGTGACCTCCCCTGACCTCCAGTGACCTCCCCTGACCTCCAGTGACCTCCCCTGACCTCCAGTGACCTCCCCTGACATCCAGTGACCTCCCCTGACCTCTATTGAGCTCCTGTGTCAATCAGGACCTCCTCTGAAATCCAGCGACACCCGTTGACCTCCTGAGATTCCATGGACATCCCCTGACATCCTGTGACATCCGGTGACATCCACTGACCTCCTATAACATTCAGGACCTCCTATGAAATCCGGCAACATCCACTGACCTCCTGAGATTCCAATGACTCCTGTGAGATCCAGCAACCTCTTTTGAAATCCAGTGACCCCTTGTGACATTCAGAACCTCCTGTGAAATCCAACGACATCCTTTGTCACCCATTAACACACCCCCCCCCCGTCCCGTTTTGCAACATCCTGCGACAACCAGCAACATTCAGTGACCTCCTGCGACATCCTGCTGCGTGCTGCTACGGGAGCAGAGAGATGAACGGTCATGATGGATCACATGCATCATCATATCCGCATGATCCGCAGCGTCAGCAGCAGCACGAGCAGCAGCAGCAGCAGCAACAACAACACGAGCACCAACAGCAGCAGGGCCAGGAGTCCCATGTACTGCGCAGCGGTTGCCGCGGCTGCGAGGGGTTTAGATGGCGAAAGGCATCGCACAAACGGATCGTTGGCGGCCAGCAAATGAAAAGGTACTATTGGTGCGACGGGTACCTTGACTACTGCTGGTAGCACCGTAGCAGTCCCGCCGCCCCTCTTCTCCCTCCGCCTTCGTCCACAAGTTGTTTGTATGGATCTGTATACAACCCTATAGTGAGCCACCCGCTTTTGCTGAGCTCGTCAGTCAGATTAGCATTATCAGATATCCCAGGGTTGTTGATGCCAAACAATGTATCTAACGCACCGATTTCCCGTCCATCTCTGCTGCAGGGTCTACTTTGTGTGCGCATCCAAGCAACTCACGGGCTGCCCGGCGAAAAAAAACGGAGGACCGGCTACAAGCCTCAATGCGCTGTCGCAAAGGGGAAAAGCTCCACTTCCACAAACCACTTGGCTTCAAGAAGTGACAATAAAGGGCGTGACAGAACAGAGATGCGAGTGGTGGTGCGGACGACGTTTTCCGGCACACATAACCATGCTCCGACATGCCGATGACTTTCTCATACTCATGTGACTGTCACGGCTGTTACAACCTTCCCTCCTACTACAGTCTCCCCTACTGGTACAGCCTTGCCTCCTGCTGCAACCGTCCCTCATGCGACAGATTTACCCCCTGCTACAAATGCCGTCCCTGGCACAACCTCGCCTCCTGCTACAACCTTCTCTCCTGCTTCAACCTCACCTCCTGCTTTAACATTTCCACCTGCCAAACCTTTCTCCTCTGCTACAACCGTCACGCCTGCTCCAACTTTTCCTCCTATGACAACCTTCCTTTCTGCTACACCTTCCCCTCCTGCTACAACCTTTCCTCCTGCTACAACCTTTCCTCCTGCTACAACCTTTCCTCCTGCTAAAACCATGTCGTTTGCCACAACTTTTCCTCTCGCCACAGCCTCCCCTCCAGCTACAAACTTTCCTCCTACTAGATCCCTCCCTCTTGCTACTGCTTTCTATCCTGCTACAACCTGTCATCCTGCTACAACCTGTCATCCTGCTACAACCTCTCATCCTGCTACGTGCTGTCCTGCTCCAAGCTGCTCTGACGTGGTTGCTACGGAACAGCAGGGCGGCCCTCAGTTGCAGCAGATGCAAGCGATTCGATCTGAGGAGGCGCGACATGGGACCAACGGAGTCACCAGCATGGTTTCTATGGAACAGCAGGGCGGCCCTCGGTTGCAGCATGTGCAGCAGATGCAGCAGATGCAGCAGATGCAGCAGATGCAGCAGATGCAGCAGATGCAGCAGATGCAGCAGATGCAGCAGATGCAGCAGATGCAGCAGATGCAGCAGATGCAGCAGATGCAGCAGATGCAGCAGATGCAGCAGATGCAGCAGATGCAGCAGATGCAGCAGATGCAGCAGATGCAGCAGATGCAGCAGATGCAGCAGATGCAGCAGATGCAGCAGATGCAGCAGATGCAGCAGATGCAGCAGATGCAGCAGATGCAGCAGATGCAGCAGATGCAGCAGATGCAGCAGATGCAGCAGATGCAGCAGATGCAGCAGATGCAGCAGATGCAGCAGATGCAGCAGATGCAGCAGATGCAGCAGATGCAGCAGATGCAGCAGATGCAGCAGATGCAGCAGATGCAGCAGATGCAGCAGATGCAGCAGATGCAGCAGATGCAGCAGATGCAGCAGATGCAGCAGATGCAGCAGATGCAGCAGATGCAGCAGATGCAGCAGATGCAGCAGATGCAGCAGATGCAGCAGATGCAAGCAGTTCAATCTGAGGAGGCACGGCATGGGGCCAGCAGAGTCACCAGCATGGTTTCTCTGGAGCAGCAGGGAGCGCAAATACAGCAGGCACCACAACAGCCGATGTACCAGCACCCACAGCAGCCAGTGCAGCAGCCAATGCAGCAGCAGGGTCCTCACATGAAGCATATGCAAGGTGCTGTGCTTCAAGACATGAGGTTCTCTTTTCATGGGCTGGAAGGGCACCAGAGCATGCAGCAACCGATGCAGCAACACCCTCAGCAGCTAATACAGCAGCAGAGCCTGCAGCAACCGATGCAGCAGCACCCTCAGCAGCTGGTGCAGCAGCATTCTCAGCAGCTAGTCCAGCAGCAGAGCCTGCAGCAGCCGGTGCAGCAGCAGAGCCTGCAGCAGCCGGTGCCGCAGCAGAGCCTGCAGCAGCCGGTGCAGCAGAGCCAGAAATGTCATTGCCGGTTGCAGGAGCAGAAGCAACACCAGCATCCAACATTGCAGGTTCAGCAGCAGTACCAGCAGCAGCAGCAGCAGCAGCAGCAGCAGCAGCAGCAGCAGCAGCAGCAGCAGCAGCAGCAGCAGCAGCAGCAGCAACAGCAGCACCAGCAGCAGCAGCAGCAACAGGAGCAGTGGCAACAGCAACAGAGGCAACTGCACCAGCAGCACCAGCAGCAGGAACAACCATGGCATCAGCAACAGCAGCAGCAGCACCAACAGTGGCAGCAGCAGCAACAGCAACATAAACAGCAACAGCAGCAGCAGCAACAACAGCAACAGCAGCAGCAGCAGCAGCAGCAGCAGCAGCAACTGCCGCAACAACAGAAGCAGCAGTGTGTGCCGCCAACTCTTCCGTGCAGTGAGAAGCTGGAAGGCCAACGCCAACGGACAGCATGCACTCCTGGTGTACTTACTTCTTGTACCACTGATAGTCACCACTGGCGTCACTGATGTGAACGCTGATGTCACCGCTGACGTCACGGCTGGCGTTGCTGATGTCACCACTGCTGTCACGGACATACGCACTGATTTTGTTGCTGCAACAGTTACGCACATCCCTGCGGTTTCCGCATTCACACTTGCTGTTACCGCCTGCACCTCGGTTGCACCTTCGCTTGGCTACACTGAAGCAGCCTATTCAACTGATCCAACTGCTATTCCTTCTGGGCTACCAGCGGGGCTTCATTCTCTTTCGGCTGCGCCCGCAGCTGACTCTGGTGTTACCAGCAGTGGCGTTGGTGTTACCACTACTGAAGCTGAGGTTACTCCTGGCCCTGAGCTTACTATTCCTCCTTGGGGTGGCGCACCATGTGCTAGTTCTGGTAACCGGCAGCCTGTCACGCATGAACCTGTGTTTCGGAACGATGCTAGGATGGGACCGCCAAATATTATAGCTGCCATGGGTGCTGACGTGTCAGCATGTAGTGGTGTTGCCACGTCAGGGTGTGAAACCACTGCCTTTCAGCAACAGGCAGCATCCTGCATGCAGCTGTTGAGCCTGGAACTCAGGGATTGTCGCATGCAGCACAGGTCCCACTCCCAGGGGTATTTGCAGCACTATCAGCCACAGCAGCAGCTTCAGAAAACTGTTTCAGTCAAAGCAACAGTTCACATGGGGGATGGTGGAGCCAGCAGCAAGATGTGCAACGACAGTAGCAGCAAGAGCAGTAGCAGGAGCTGCACCCACAGTAACAGCAGCGATGTTAAGCAGCCTGGCACTTGCCATAATGGTCTGTTGGGTGATACCCATAATGATTTCACCAACGCTGTAACGTTCGATCGAATCGTTCGACGTGACAGCACTAGCAGCAGTGGTGGCAGCATGAGCAGTTTGAGTTGCTCTGTGGCTGGATCATCACCGTACGATGAATCAATCGATGTGAGAGAACATTGGGAAGCTTCTGTTGCAGATGTGTCGCTGGATGAGCCGTGCTCAGGGCCCTCGTTATCAGACCAAATTGGTCTGATTTTCTGATTTTCAGACCTTGATTTTGGGTTTCATCTGATTTTCAAGACGAGGATTTTTACTTCGTCTGATCCGTAAGATTACGAAATTTAGTTCATCTGATTTTTCAGAGCAAGCCTTATACTTAGTCTGAAATTTCAGATAGCGGGTTGCAATTCGTCTGATACCGAATCCCCTCCCCCCCCCCCGACCCCTCGCTTCTCTAAGCCCTTCGATGCCCTTGCTCCTCTTCCAGGCCTAGTCCAGACCTTCTCCCCCTCCCCCCCAGCCTTAGGTCCCCTCCCCAGGTCCCCTCCCCATGCCCCTTGTGAAGTCTCGCACCAGCCCAGCCCCCCCTTCCTTCTCGCGTCCCTCCACCCAACCTGATCCCTCGCAGCACCTCAATGCCACGTGCATGCCCCTCAACAGCCACACGCCTGTCAGCTAGCGAGCTCTCAGCGCCGCACCATGGGCGCGTTCATTAACAAAAACAAGTGTGATTATGCTAGACAAGGGTGTTAACTGAATCAGACTACGCAAATCTTGTAGTCTGAAAAATCAGACTAAGCTCCAACATTCGTCTGGAAAATCAGACCAGAAAAATATGCCCATCTGATCGTCAGACGGAACGATTTTTTACTTAGGTGTTTTCAGACAAGCCCAAATCCTAGCAAGAGCCCTGGCCGTGCTTGTTTGGTGCGGCTTTTGAGAATTCCCAAAAGCTGTGCCTGGCTCAAGAAGAAATCAGCATGTGCCAAGTCACTGCCCCGGATTTTGACAATCCAGAACTGATGTCCACACTTGTTGTGCAGGGTTGCGACACCATTGATCGTATTTTTATCTGATTGTGTAGCAGAGAGATAAACTTTGCAGTGATGAGAGGCACTGTTTCTGTGCGGTAATAATGCATGGGGTCTGGTTGTATAAGGTTCGCTAGCCTGATGTACGGTACAAATCTGTTGGATGGCGATGCAACTCTTCTTTGGTTTCATACCGTGGCTTTCCCTCACACATCAGTACCTGCATTGAGAAATTGGTCGAATCGTTCGCTACCTGGATAGGGTTACTGAGCCCCCTCGTGTAATGCGTGAGTTTCCAACCAGAATGTGTCGAATTCCGCTAAAAACCATTTCTGTTCTCTCGCTAATCTTTGATCCATATAAACTCACATGGGAAGTCACGCACTGGCTGATTTCCAGTGTCAGCAATTTGTGAAAGTCATTCTAGGAGGATATAGCGATGAGGAGGGGAAGTGATGCAGAGACAGGGTATGGTGTGCACGCTGCGGTGGTGTTTGGTAAGGATGTGCTTTGCACCAATCACCATATGACGAAATTCGCGATTGTTCTCGACAATGGAATCCATTATATCCCAAAATTTGCTTTTTTTGGGGCCGAGACCCCAAACCAAACCTACCCGTATTCTCCCGGATAAAACACCCCCCCGTAATTGTACACCCCCCGGTAGCTAATATGGGGTGGGTGTTATATCCGACCCCGTTAGTACTATACCCCCCCTTTTGGGGTGAATCTCTATAACACCCCCCTTTTCTTATAGATTCCTATTTTAGCTGTTATTGAGTCCGATTCCTTACGGGGGGGATATCGCGAGAATTGCTCCCTAGATGAAATTTCGCGTGTACTTTCACTTACCGTAGAATCTGCCAAGATTTCCCCCCTCCCACAATCTCACTGTCGCCACGCTGGCGAATCTTCCGCTGCAAGTGGTCCAATAGGTGAAAATCACCTTCTCACATGAGGCATAGACACGTGACCAAACCAGTCAAGAACTGACTGGTACAGTAACAACGCACCACCGTGCGCGATTCTGGCCTGGGCGGTTGCATGAACCCTCGCCACGCAATTAGCTTTGTTTTCACCCTATCAAGTGCCAGAATTGCCTACTGGAATTTGCCACGTGGCAGATTCCAGTGGGCAGTCACGTTATTCTCGTATACTCGGTTTTGCGGCACTGAACAACAATTTTGAAGTGAAGTCAGACCCCCTGATTTTGTTTCACATCTTTTCTGCTTGATAAAAAATATACCATATAATAAGACCCGGGTATTATGCAGGATTTTCCTTTGAGGAGACCCCCCCCATTTTTTCCCAGTGGTTTTCATAATACCCTAGGGTGTTTTATCCGGGAGAATACGGTAATTGGATCATTCCTAGGCGCCTTACGGAATCCCTCCCGAGCCGACTCTGAGCCAGAGTGCCTGGCAAACAGGGGGCTGTTGTGGTGGGAGCAGCTTGCCTGTGGTAGACAGAGTGTGTGAGTGGGATTCACCTACAAATTAGGCAGCTTCCCTGTGTTGTCTTGCAGAACCATTGCTATTTTACTGTACGAGCTTTGACGTTCCTCACCCAGTATTGCTGTTCCTCCTATTCGTACACTGTATCATGGTTCCTCCGCAGTGTCACCTTCGCACGCGCACATGCTTGCGCTTTGGCCTGCACCTGAAAATGGGGGTTGTTAGTCGCTCCTGCGTTGGGCTGATTTATTCCCTCCACAAGATTAGGTAAGAAGATTTCGTTTAGTCCCATTGCAGCATGCTCGTTAGTACGGTACGTGTATTCTCGCGAACCGCGTATGTACACCGATGTGTACACGCATGTCCACAAACGAATGGCCTGCATATGACTTCGACTCGTCAGGGCATTTGCTAACGAATCATGCATTCCGTCATCGTGGTCAGATGGACTGTAACGCTTGCGGGGCTTACACGTAAGGGTTGAGTGCCTCCGCTGCGCCTCAAACATAACTCTCGTTTTGACCCAGTGGGTAGCGAGGTGTTAAATTTGGTTTCAGAGCCTGGGGTTTGATTCCTGGCTGGGTCACATTTTCCGCTATTGAGCGTGAAGTTGAAAGTGGTAACCCAGTCGCTAACCCAGTGAATGATCCGCCGCTGGCCTGGCCCACCAGTGAATTCGCTGTAGAGCGAGATTGAGGCCTTGCAAGGGCCGACTCCCTGCCCAACAAGGACGTTGGCTCCAGGGGGGGATGAGTGTAACGCCTGCGGGGCTTACACGTAAGGGTTGAGTGCCTCCGCTGCGCCTCAAACATAACCCTCGTTTTGACCCAGTGGGTAGCGAGGTGTTACATGGACGGTCCCATATTGGGGCTTTCAGGTTTCATCTATCTCAAGTATCAGGATTGATTTCCATTTCTCCTCTCAACCCGAATCAATCCAGTGATTCGGGATCGAAAATTACAGCAGTACTATAAGAAATTGACTTTCCGAGTTTGCCGCATCTTCACTTCACAGAGCCCTTTGAAGGTTAGACTCCGGTGAAGTCAACTCGTAGCGGAGGAGGAACCATTTCGAGCAACCACTTCCCTCAACCTTGACAAGTCGTGCTCGATGGAAGAACCACACCTGCAAGAACTTAAAGGCCTGCGAGAACCGAAAGGCCTGTGCGAACCAATCATCAAGATGATGCCCTCATCTCCAGATCCCTCAGTGGGAGTCGTTCCGCTCCAAAAGAGATTTGGACCGCATTTTTGCCAGACTCGTCTGGTTCTATAGATCGCAGTGTTTAACCTACAGCTAGGAAGTTTGTATGCGAGTGAATCTCTGCAGTCAGTAGTTGTACCGCTGGCAACGAGTAGCGGGTGTAAGCGAGTGAATCTCCGCAGCTCCGAGGCTCATTCCCGCGGCAAGCACGGCACCCGATCTGGCAGTCAGAAGTTGTAGTACCGCTCGTGGTGCAAACGGTATGAGCTTTTGAGTCGACTCGGAATTCCCGCTCAAAAGTAAAATTTCCTGCAATCACCACCCTTTCGGTCAGAAGTAGTAGTGCCGCTTGTGGTGACTTTTGAGACGTCTCAAAAATCTCCTGCAAGCACCACCCGATCTGTCGGTCAGAAGTAGTAGTACTGCTCGTGGTGCAAATGGTCGTGGTAGTACGACCATAATTAAAGTGGCTTTTGACAGCAACCCCATGCAA